CAAGTACTATTCAAAAATCGAAAGTGACCCACGTGAAATAAGGTGTCCAAAAGTGCACGGGGTCCTCGATGTGTGCCATACCGACAACTACACGATGACGCTGCATTGCAGTACAGGAAAGACACCATCCGATAAAAACGACATCGAAATTTCCCCCTATGTAATGGTTCACATCGATTACGTTAGGGGGGTCTCACTTAACGACTTTTGGACAGGCGAGCTCTGGAGGTTCCAAGCCTTTCTCACGTTTTGTTTTGGTGCATACCCTGCTATAAACCAGGTGAAAGTTACGTTTTCAGACAATAAGTGCCCTGTTAACGTGTACAGAAAGTCAGTTCCTACTGAAAAACTGAAAAAAAATTTTCAACGCGTGCCCGTACCGTTCCGACTTGTAAGAGAAAATCTGTCCAAAGTAGTTACGCAATGGATGAAGATGCAAGGCGATGAAGCTCGGTCAAGTGAAATGCTTGCATCCCTTCTCGGGCCCTGGGAGATGCCTATTGATTTGCAACTTTTTATGGCCACCTCAATGCTTGAGTCATTGGTCCGCTCAAAGAGCGAAAAGCTCTACTCTAACGACGAGCTGAATAGCCTTATTAACCCTATGCTGGCCGTAGCCGATGAAAAGATCCGGGACAGAGCACGAGAGTTGCTCCGCTCGCTACAACGACCTCCCTACCGTATGTTGCTCAACCTCGCTTTCAAGGAAAGCGAAACATGGGGAACAGAAATCGTGCCAAACCAGAATGAATTCATAAAGAAGCAAGGTAAGCTCAGGAATGCGGGCGCACACGCCCTAGGAAATGGCGGAGAGTATGACATAATGGTCGACCACTACTATGCACAAATATTAATCGCCTACGTAATCATCATGAAAAGACTCGGCTTGGATGATGCGCTCGAACAATTTGAGGAATCATCGTTTCTCGAGGCGCCTAGACAGCAAATACGTGAGCGTTACGCCATCGCTAAGACAAAAGATACAACTGACACAGCCTAACCAAACACGCCACAAAAGAAGTCTAACACTGCAGTTAAAGGTTGTTTTATGCCATTTAACAGTACTTTCAAGATATAACAAAACGTTGCCATGCAACACCTCATTTATCCATCTCAACAAGTATCGTTGAAACATTAAGCCATGCATTATTATCAAATAACAAATTATTGGAAATTATCTTGACATGCTCATATAATGTGCTCGATTGCCGTATAGTTCCAAGTTGA